GTGGCACCACAAGTTTTTGTCGGAGCACCTCCATCCTACCTTCCACGGCAACGCTGCAACTCGGCATGGATCTGACAGTGAGGAGCATGCCAGACAACACCTGCAAGAAGAAGGTTATGCCATCCATCCATCCATCCATTTTCTACCCTTTAATCCATTTCTGGGTCAGGGGGGTGGCAATCAGAGATGCCACCCAAGTCTCATAGCACCAGCCCCTCACTGACCCTCTGCAGGTGGTGAGTCCACAGGAGGACGACTGCTCTCTGAGTGTGAGCATAGCCTTGATCTTTCAGTGGGGGCTTTGGGCAAAGTGGGGTTCAGTGTCTTGCCCAAGGACACAACGGCAGCAGTCATCAGTGGAAGTCGGTGGAGAAGGTGCAGAGGTGGGAATTGAACCCACAACCTTCTGGGCTTAAGGGCTCTACCAACTGAGCTACTGTCGAAGGTTATGCCATTGAAGTAAAAGGACTGATGGCTAGCCCAAGTGAGCCATGGCTGGCAGCAAGTCCAGATGGTATCATCGGCACAGACACACTTCTGGAAATAAAGTGCCCAGTCATTGCGAAGGACCAATCCTTTACAGAAACACTCAAGGCCAAAAGCAGCGACATGAAGCCTCTGCCTAATGGTAACTTTATCTTGTCACATAATGGCCCAAAGGGCTATTACATGCAGGTGCAACTGGGTATGCACTGCACAGGGCTTCAGCTAGCCTTGTTGGTGGTTTGGGCTAAGAATGAGTATGTGCGCATAGACGTCCCCTACAACCACACTTATGTTGAGGGACATATCAAAAGGCTGCGGTCCTTCTACTATACACACATGCTGCCAAAAATTGTGGATGAATTTGATGAGGGAAGGCTAGAGTTGTGCTCCAGATATCTAGCTGTTGTAAATTCACCATGACCTGCTCCTACTCGATGTCCTTTGTCATTACTTTCACAAACACGGACTCATTCACCCCCACTGTGTGAAGGAGAGGTTCTGCAGGTCTTTCCTTCCTGCTCCTGTCAAACAGCACAATGAGCTGCACATGTCATTCATCTGTAAATATTGAATACTAAAACATGTGCTATACTGCATTTCAGTATGCCCACTTAATGTCACTTTATTATCCTGCGTGTATATAACTTTATATATATAAATATGTATATAATAATCAAACATTTACAGCTAAGAAATGTAACAGCTATTTCTTTTGTATTTTGTGTGCCCTGTGTGTGCTCTTACTACTGTCTTACTGTTAGGACATGTCAGCTGCAAAGTGCTATTTTTAAAGATAAAGGTTCTCTTATCTTACCCAAGTTCTCTTGTTCATTACTGGACATAAGACATTTTGACGTTTTCAACATTTTAATTGTTTGAGGAAATGTATACATACAATACAAAGCTGTGGATGGGCTCTCAAACATTTGCTTGGATGCCATCTGTTAATATTCACAAAATGGGATGGGACATGGAATAAAAACAGTTTATCATTTTTTCACTGTACTTGCCTTGCCATTGACATTCTCCTTCCAGCCATACATTCAAGCGTTTCCACAAATTCGTACAACCACGGACCGCACAGTATGATCCACAACCCAGTTTGCGTTTTCCTATATCCATTTTAAAATCCTCAGAACTTGGAATGATCCTCCCTCTTCGGTCTAAACTGCAGTTGTGTAAGCCGCGCCAAGCGCGAACCGGAAGTGAAAAACAGCATAGCGCTTCAATGGCTGCGCCCATGGTTACGCCCAAAAAACTCGTCTATAGGACCCAAAGGAGAGAGGAGGCCCCAAACCCCCCGCTGGATCCAAGAGCCAGACCCCCGCAGCCACAGCAGACCCCAGCTCCCAGTGCAGAGGGCTCCTCCAGAGGAAACACTGGGGAAACTAAAACAGTACAATACAAAGTAGAACATTAAAATGTGACACTAAAAAGAAAATGGCAGCTACCTAACATAATTAACAATAGTACATGGGTAAAATAAATACTGTACATAAAAACCAAAAAATAAATGGTGTCTAAAAACATAAATAAATGTACTAAAACGCAATAATAAATAATAATTAAAGCTGCAAGCGGCGATGAAAGGCCTCTCCACTCTCACGACCGCCTTCCAGGCGCCAATCCCACAAGCGTCACGCGGCATACTTGCCGACGAATTAGCAGCCCAATCGGACCAGGATTACGTACATAAAAGCTCATTAATAGGATAAAGTGTTCCCCTAGTAATCACGTCAGGGACATGTACCCTTTACTTTGAGTAGTATTTTGCTCGTACGAGTGTAACGATTTGATTGTGCAATTTTGGTGAGGATCGGAAAAGTTTAGGTCAGAAGCCTTCCATAGGTGGCGCTGTAGCGTCAAACACAGTGTGTATTTTCACACCATTACGCTCAGGTCATTACCAAGTGTTAGTGATGTGAGTTTCAGCTCTGTAGGTCTGAGACTGTGGTCAGGAGAGCAGGCAATAGTTCACCCCTAGTGGTCATCCGTGGGACATGCACCCTCTGCGTAATGTAACATTTTTGCTTGTATGGATGTAAAGATTTGACCCAGTGACTTTGATGCAGTTTATTTTTTGGTTCAAAGCCTCCCATAGGTGGCGCTCTAGAGTTAATATTAGTGTGTATTTTCACATTAGTTTGCTTATCACAGTTATGAAACAGTAATAATGTAAATAGAGCATAAAACAATCTTCATCAAACTAACCCAAACACAAGAGTCTAAATCTGAGGATCGGACCCCAGATGAATGAGTCCCAGAGCAAAACTTTAACCACTGGGAGAAACAGCTGCTTGTTTTAGCAATCATTGTACTAAGCAATAGGTGCGCCACCTGTGGTCGGGTTGGGTATTGCAGATCTGAGTATAAAATGACCACATGAAATAAACTGCTCACTGGCATGAAAACAGTGATGAATTTCTAACTTTGTTGAGATGATTGCACAACTTCAATCCATCCAGAATCCATCCAGATGGAGAAATGACATGGTTGAAGTCTGTATGATGAATAACCAGGGACTAGTACGAAGCCAAAGACACAACACCTAGAACTAGATGTAGGTGGCGCCGTTGCACTCACAGTTGTGTGTTGCATATCGTCGTGTTCAGAGTCATACGCTGTATTTTTGAATTAATTTCTAGCCTCATCGGACAAAAATGTTGGCCCAAAAAGCTCATTCATCCACTTTGCAGCGCACCCAGTGGTCAGGTGTCGGACTTACAACTTTTGCGTCATGTAATGTTTTGCTCGTATCGGTCCAAAGACCAGACTCAGCAATTTTTGGGCCGATCCGAGCACTAGTGCCCTATTACTTTCCGACAGGTGGCGCTAAAGAGCTCATATTGGGCGAATTATTTTAGTGTCATTGCGTTCAGGCCATAACCTAATATTACTGATGTGAGTCTCAGCTCTGTAGGTCTGAGCCTGTGGCCCTCAGGGCTCAGCGAAAATGGCCAAAACAAAGGCCTTATTCGCCATGGCGAGGGAAGAAAACGGTGATGATTTTCCAACTTTTTATTGATGATTGTATAACTTCAATCCGTCCAGAACGGGAAATGACATAGTAGAACTCTGTGTGATGAAAAACCAGGAACTAGTAGGAAGCCAAAAACACAACACTTTGAGCTCTCTGTAGGTGGCGCTGTTGCACTCACAGTTGTGTGTTGCATATCGTTTTGTTCAGAATCATACACGCTATTTGTGAATTCATTTCTAGCCTAATCAGACAATTATTTCTCCCCAAAAATCTCATTCACACATTTTGTGGCTCCCCCAGTGGTAAGGTGTGGGACACAAACCGTAAAGAATTTCTAACTTTTTTTCGATGATTGTATAACTTCAATCCGTCCAGAGTTCAAAATGACGTGGTAGAACTCTGTGTGATAAAAAAAACAGGGACTTTAAAGTAGTACTAGAATTTTATTTTACCAATTGCAGTTTTTGTAAGGATAGAGCCATATAAACAATTTGTGGAAAAAAAGAAAACGGAAAAAAAGAAAAATATGTAAATTATTACATTTTCTGAAATGACCAGTTAAAAACATGCCCCTGACGTGTGACGTAGGTGAATTACATTCTGAATCCAAACACACGCCTACTCTGTACTATACTGTACACTTACTCAACTGCTTTTTTTACTTTTCTTTGCCTTATCGCCAATAACGAGGTGGAAAAAGTGCGTCGCTTACGGCTGTACTAATGTAAATAAGGATAGTGTGTCTTTACACAACTTCCCAAACCCTACAACGGAGAAGGAGTGATTTGATGAGGGGAACAGACGCGTCTTTTGAACCTGCCCTCCGCTTCCCATCGGTCTGCTGCAGGAGATCCTTGTCTGTTCGGAGCACTTCACCCAGGACTCGTTTGTACACATTAATTCGGTGGCAGCGTCAGCGTCTACGCTCAGGCCATTACCAAGTGTTAGTAATGTGAGTTTCAGCTCTGGAGGTCTGAGCCTGTGGCAAAGAGAGCATGCTATAGTTCACCCCTAGTGGTCGTCCGTGGGACATGCACCCTCTGCGCAGTGTAACATTTTTGCTCGTATGGATGTTAAAGTGATTGTCTGCAGTTTGTCAAAAAGAGAGAGAGGTACTTGATTTGAAAAAAAAACGACGCAAGCTCCTCCCCCTTCCTTTCTGATTGGTCTACACCTACGTTTCCGCAACACTTTTAAATGTTTACCAGAGAACACATTATACATATACATTATTAATACACATGCACGGAGGTTTTCAGAATTATTTGTGAACGTTTTCATGACAAAAATAATGTTTTTATGCACAAAAAAGCGATCGCGGCAAACCAGGAAGTGCTATTATCATGAACTGCACATTATAGGAATATCTGCAGAGGATCTGATTATGGATATAGGTTCATATATAAATGATTATGGATATAAGTTCAGTATATAAATGATAATTATGGAAAAGAGGACTCCTCACACTTATGGTGTTACAAGGAGACCTTGGTACTCTCATTGATACTTTTCATCAAAAAATATTGTGGTAGTAATGTTTCCATGTCATCTTTTTTTAAGGACAATCACACTTCAGCAGAGTCGTCTGAAGACGGAGTCCCAACGATCAAAAGAAAGGTTATGGAAACTTCAGCAGAGTCTTCTGAAGACGGAGTCCCAACGATCAAAAGAAGGGTTATGGAAACTTCAGCAGAGTCTTCTGAAGACGGAGTCCCAACGATCAAAAGAAGGGTTATGGAAACTTCAGCAGAGTCGGCAACCTCCCAAAAGGAAAATTGGCCACCAGTTATCGGTAAGAAGTGTCATAATCTATTGGGTTCCATCCATTTTGTTTTCCTCATTTGAGATGATGACTTTGTAACATAAACATGACTTGTGATGAATGTTCTTTTCTAAAGGACACTGACAGCTCAATAGAAGAGGTCATCCAAGAAGAGGTCATCCAAGAGAGGCGTCTGATTACCCCCTTCACAAATTTAATAAAAAAGGCTAAAAGAAAAGGCCAAGATATTGTGGTGAGAGATTACATCCAAAGTGATTACTATCTTCTTCAGTTTGAGGAAAAATAAGTTTTTCTTGTTTGAAACTATTTCAGAAGTTCTTAGAAGAGGCAGAGGAAGATGTGCCGATATCTTTATCAGATTTGGACGATGAGCAGATTTCTTTTTCCGACGATGACCCGGACTGGGAGGCGGGGGCAGAAGGGCCTTCGTCATACAAGGTGAGAATGGAATTTATTTGTATTTCATGTAAAAAATATATAGTAAATACATAGTTCTTCAGCTCAAAGACCAAAAGGAGGAGTTGATCAGAGAGGAGCCAGGCCTAACTCCTCCTTTTGGTCATCTTTGGTCAACCCTAGCCTTACTGCAACTTTGTTTCTTGCATTACAGGGGAAAGAATTGGAGGTTTTTTTGAATGTACCAAATTTAATTACAAGACATGTGAGTCGACATTTATTCATCTTTCTTCAGCCGCTTTTCTCACTCTGTAGATTTCCACAGTGAAGTGACTTTTATCAAGAATGTGGGTTTTTGCTATTGTTTTAGAGCTGAAACTTGGGTTTACCAGAGGAAATAGCTCAGTGTCTTATAGCTAATGGTTTTTTGTTGTTATTTTTTCCAGAAAATGGAGGAAGAAACTAGAAGAAAATCTTACTCCCAAAGTTTAGGTTTTTTTCTTTAGGGTTTCAGTAGACTGTAGTTGACCGCTCTTTCCAGTGTATTTGACAACTCTTCTATTTTCCCCCTCAGATTTGGCAGGCCTTTGTGAGCCCAAACACGGCGAACATTTTGGGGAAAAACAAATGCCTAGACCAAAGGGTGTGCGTCAAAACCCTGAAATTTCACACAAAAAAAGAGGAACATAAAGGGAATCCAGGAAGAGGGACTCTGTCCGGAGGAGGAAGAGGAGGAAGAGGGACTCCGTCCGGAGGAGGAGGAAGAGGGACTCCGTCCGGAGGACGAAGAGGAAGAGGGACTCCGTCCTCCTCCTCCTCCGGTCGAAAAGGGACTCCTTCCGGAGGAGGAGGAGGAAGAGGGACTCCGTCCGGACGAGGAGGAGGAAGAGGGACTCCGTCCGGAGGAGGAGGAGGAAGAGGGACTCCGTCCCTCCGCCTTCACACCTACTTTTAGGACGTGTCAAACGTCATACTGTGTTCTACTGAAACGTTTTGGTTTCATTTCATTCCGACCAATAGGAAGCCAAATACCTAACCGTTAGTGTGTTGGTCTCCAAATGTCAGAATCTGATTCGGGCTCTATTCAGACGAGTGTGTGGTGAATTTCAAGACAATCGGACAAAATCTGAGCCTTTGACGAGCCTATAAGTCCTGAAGATGGCGAATCTTTGAAGCCCCGCCTATCGAAAACCGTAGGTGCGGCCGGCACATAACACATATCCCCAGACTCGTCTTACGACCGTTGACAACATATCTCCAAATCAGGTGTCACAACTGTGTGGGAAAAAAATGGATTGGATTTTTTAAACTGGCAGGGAGGATGCTCTCAGGGATGTGGACCCATACTCCATTTTTTGGACTACATTTCAGACAGCCAATTAACTCCCCTGAGGGTCCGATCCAAAATCGAGCAATGGATATTGATAGAGGGCCCTCTGGACACTGTCTGTGCCGATTTAGGTGTCAGTAGGGTCAAAGATGGGGGCGTAATTGAGGAAAAGCAAATGGCAGATTTTATCGCTTCATTTTTGTCCTTATTCTTGTTATGCCGTTTTTCCACAGTGTCATTACAGTTCGGTGCGACTCTACTCGGCGCGCAAAAGCCGAGTTTGCTTGGTTTTCCATTGAAATAGCACCTCCTGGAATGTGTGGGGCAGGCTTCGTCATACCACGGAAGTAGTGGTCATACCACAGTGTAGTGACGTCATTTGCGCGCGACGCACACACACACAAAAAGCGGGAAGAACAGCATACACCATCACAAACAATGGAGACCACCGGGACGTACCTTCTGTTCTTTCTGTGGCTTGTACTTATACACAAGATCAAGAGCCAGAGAAGAATCCAGGCGGCAAGACGCAATAGAATTGCGAAGTACAGGAAGCTTTTTGAAGCCGTGCAGCAGGACTATGGAGACGAGGATGGAGCCGAGGACGGCACAAGCAGTCTGTGCGCAAAACGAGCTGCAAAAAGACGTCTGCGGGTAAGTTACTTTTGCTTTGTAGCTATGTATGTAATGTAGCTTGGTAGCAGTCGTCGTGCACAGTAATTGCTGCTGGTTTTCACTATTAAGCATTAAACTGTATGCTGTATGTGTTTTTCAGATGGCTCTCGTCTTGCGTAGCCGCCGTAAGCCATCGGTCTGGGCATTCAACCGAGCCTCCGAGTGATGGGACATTGTAGTCCCCAAATTCAGCAACGTGCAGTGGGTGCAGAATTTCCGAATGTCCGAAGAAACGTTGGATTTTCTGTGCCTGAAGCTGCGGCCGATTATGGAGCGACGAGACACTAGTTTCCGTGACTGTGTGCCCCTGAAGAAGAGGGTGGCTATCGCACTCTGGAAGCTTGCTACTGGCTCCGAGTACAGAAGCATTGGTCACCTTTTTGGAGTCAGCATAACAACGGTGTGCCGGTGTGTGCAGGACTTTTGTGCTGCAGCAAAGACGGTATCGGTCCCAGAGCTGATCCGGTGTCCTAACGAGGAGAAATTCAGAGAGATAGCTGCCTACAATGAGAACAGATGGGGGGTCCCACACTGTGTTGGTGCTATTGATGGATCACACATACCAATCAATGCACCACAGGAGTACCATTGTGACTACTTCAATCGTAAAGGGTGGCATTCTATCATACTCCAAGGTGTGGTTGATGGAAAGGGGTTGTTCTGGAATGTGTTTGCCGGTTTGCTAGGGAGTTTACATGACGGCAGGGTCTTAAGACTCTCTAGCCTGTGGGAGTTAGCCAGCCGGGGAAACCTCTTCCCAGCTCACACAAGAGACGTTGGTGGGGTGACTGCTCGCTATTACCTCCTAGGGGACTCTGCTTACCGCCTGCAGAACTGGCTCCTAAAACCTTTTCAGCACACCGGGCGACTGACAGTCGAACAGCAAGTATTTAACAGAAGATTCAGCAGAGCACGAGTGGTTGTTGAAAACGCTTTTGGCAGGCTCAAAGGAAGATGGCGCTCTCTTCTGAAAAGGTGTGACTCGGACATTGAGCTGGTTAAGTCAATGGTGCTGACTTGCTGTGCTCTGCACAATCTGTGCGAAACTAATGGAGAGACCTACGTGACGGAATGGGACACACGTGTGGCAACAGTTGAGCCTGTGGCACAGGATGCAAAGGGAGAGGGCGGAGATGTTAGGGACGGTCTGATGCATCCCTTTATGTCCAATGCCTAAACATTTAATGTTTCATTTGTGTCTTCTATGGTGTTTTTAAACCAAAAATAAAAGCTTGTTGTATTTTACTTGTCTCTACTTCTGTTCCAAAAATCACCACGGTTATAGGGATTTACTGACAAAAGTAAAATGTAAAATAGAGCTGGCTTCATACAACCTGTTCCAAACACCCCTCAACTTAAGGTTCATCACAACACACATGTCATCACAAACGTTAAGGGTATAAATGGTAAATGTATGTTATATATTGCTTTTAGGTTGTGTAGGGTATGAAAATTGTAGTGTAGTGCGGCTAGTCTCCAGATCAGAGTCTTGCCGTACTACACAAGTGGGATCCGAGTTTTATTTTGGGCACCAGCAGAGTTTGAAAACGTCTGCACAGATCCAACTAATCTGCCTCGATCAGTCTTACAATCTGATAGGTTATGAGTACGAAATCAGCCAGGGACGTCAACAGATTTAGAAACAGGACGCTTAAAGATGATTTGAGTTTAACGTGGGTTTATTGACTACATACGAAAATAGAAGAATATCAACAAAAAGGGTTTTGGTCACATTAACGGAGATGTTATGCATATCATATGAATCACACATTAGCGTGGAACAGTCTTACTTTGAGCAGGGATGGTGATGGGGAAAAGTGAAGAATGATGAGGATGAAGGATGGGGATGGCGTAGAGGTGAGGCAGGGCCGTCCACGTGTTCCTTTGTCCGAACAGAGAGGAACAAGAGAGCCAACAACTCGAGTCCAGAACTTTAATTCCACACCCGCTTTTGCCTTTCTAGAATAGCGATGCGGGAGGAGAGGTCCAGAGCCGGAAAAGTGACTGATGATGGAGCAGTTCGTGGTCTCCGACAGCGGTATCGTGGGCTGTCCTCGCGGAGGTGGAGAGGCCTCAGTGGGTTACAGGCGCGGGTCGTAGTAGGAGACACGTACCCGGGAAGTTGTTACAATAATTTCAGGTTTTCCAAGAGGTCGTTCCATTGCGCGGCTTGTGCTTTTGTATTATCCAAAAGGAGGCGCGTCCATGACGTCATCCCTGTGCGTCTCTCTGGACCGACATGTCACAAGGCAAAAACACATCACACAGACATTCATAATCAGATGCAGGATTAATATCAACATTCATAAAACATGTACAGGCGCACAACGCATTTACATTACTGATAATGATACACACGTGTAGGGCACAGTACAGGTTATCAGAATAATGGCTTCACGAGTGATGGTTTAGAATGTCCGTCTCGGGTGTGATAGTGTTCAGTGTCCACTGGGGGGCGTCAGAACGCCGTTGGTGGCTCGCCAGCTGTCCCGGGGAGAGTGTGCTTGGAGTGAACGCAGGACTTTGATCTCTGAGCTCGTCGGGGGAAAGGGGCAGAGATGTTTACGCTCCAGAGTCGATTCATTGTTCCAAAACCGACAGTCGTTATCTCTATGACCGATGAGCGCTCTCTGTTCGACCTCTTTATGGCTTAGATGTCTGCTCTGGGAGGGACATTCCCAAAGTCTTATCGGAGCTGGTTAGTGTCCTGGCGGGGTCAGTTTCGGTCCATGCTCCGTGCATTGTGCTCTCTTTTGTCACCTTACAGTTGACATAACTTTTAAGTCATGTTCGTTTTGTGTTGCTAATGTTTCATGGCACATAATGTTCCTATGTAGCTTGGTAGCAGTCGTCGTGCACAATAATAGCTGGTGGCTATCACTATAAAGTCTTAAAACGTGATGTACTGTCATGTAAATTATTGATTTCAGAACAAAAACTAAATTGGCTACTTCTGGCCTAAGGGATATTTTCCATCTGTAATCCCTGGACTGTTGTGTATTCCTGAATGGAGAAAAAATTAAACAGATGAAACATAAGTCAAATATATTCAAACAATACCCTCAGTCAAAAAAAAAAAAAACCGATATGAACATGGCGGGTACAAACGCAACAATAAAAAAGGCACCGGGGGCAGTGAGAGGCAAGGAGAATTTGCTGTGAGCCATTTTCTAACCTGTATGTTGAATGGGTTATATGTGTTTAATTGGGGGTGCAATTCCATTCATTGGCAGCTTTGACAGGAAATATGGGAAAGAACAAAACTAACCATGACCAAAATGCATTCAACTGCATTATAAGCTGTAAACACATGACTGCAGCTAGTATACACGAGTAGACACAGACATTTAATTCCAATTTATGAATATGTAAATGTGTGTACGTGTATATTTTCTGGAGAGATATAATCTGATTACATTCTTTTCCTGTGGAATGTTTACAAAAACATTCCAAATTACAGTTAAGTTGTGATCATCTCTTTTTCAAGTTTAGTTGCAGTGTGGAGAATATCAAAAAAAGTATTGGACGTAAAATATCAGTTTTTAAATGTGCAAAGCGGGCTGATTTGACCCAACTACAACTTGAAGGTTAAATATGTCCAGGGAAAAAAGATGAAAAATAGCCTTCTTGCCAATTCTGGTATATTTACAGTAGTAATGGCAGTCCATTTAATAAAAGACTTTTATTTTTTCACTATAACAGAGTGCCTCAGACTTCTCTTTTCGATATTCTAAATCTGCTTGGATTGCCCCGTCATTTATGCCTTCTACTTCTCGTACCCTCTGCAGCACTCACCTTCCTTGCTTTAAACGTTTACAGTAATGTTCATTTGTGTACACTGTCCCTGTCAAACGACTACATGGAAGTTGAAGTATGATAGGAATTCCTAGCTTTTATGCATGTGTACAGACGAATGAAACAGTCTTTATGAAATCACACATTTATTTACAAAGAAAACGAAAGTGCACACGCATCTATTTACAAAGGGCAGGGAGGTAAAGCCAGTTACAATGGGAAATGTCAATTCTTGCGGTCGGTCAGAGCTTGGACCATCTGGGCCATGAGAGTGAACAAGGCAGTCGTCTGGGCACACTCCTCTCTCCGCACGGCCAGCTCCAGGTCTCTGGCCTCTCGGGCCTCTGCAACGAGCACCTGGAGATGTGCATCACGCTGTGCCCGGTTCAGTGCATGCTCTGCCCGGTTCAGCGCATGCTCTTCCCGGTTCAGCGCATGCTCTGCCCGGTTCAGTGCATGCTCTGCCCGGTTCAGTGCATGCTGTGCCCGGTTCAGTGCATGCTCTTCCCGATCCAGTGCATGCTCTTCCCGGTTCAGTGCATGCTCTGCCCGGTTCAGTGCATGCTGTGCCCGGTTCAGCACATGCTCTTCCCGATCCAGTGCATGCTCTTCCCGATCCAGTGCATGCTCTTCCCGATCCAGTGCATGCTCTTCCCGATCCAGTGCATGCTCTGCCCGGTTCAGCGCATGCTCTGCCCGGTTCAGCTCATGCTCTGCCCGGTTCAGCGCATGCTCTGCCCGGTTCAGCGCATGCTCTGCCCGGTTCAGCGCATGCTCTGCGCCGGTTCAGCGCATGCTCTGCGCCGGTTCAGCGCATGCTCTGCCCGATCCAGCGCATGCTCTGCCCGATCCAGCGCATGCTCTTCCCGATCCAGCGCATGCTCTTCCCGATCCAGCGCATGCTCTTCCCGATCCAGCGCATGCTCTTCCCGATCCAGCGCATGCTCTTCCCGATCCAGCGCATGCTCTTCCCGATCCAGTGCATGCTCTTCCCGATCCGAAGCCTGCATCTCCCGCAGCACCGCCACCGTGTCGGACTCAAAGAGCTCCCTTCTTCGCGTTCCTATGAAGCAATAAAGCAAAGTGTTATTAATGGGTTTATTAACCAAACTAGTCTTGTGAAAACATTTGGAGAAATTATGGGGACATACATTTTCTTTAATGCCAATAATAATGTCACCTTACATTGTGTGCACCATGTGCACTTGTGTATTGTATATAGTAATTGTAACTCTATTTTTATTTCATTCCTTAGAACTGCTTTTTATTTAAATTTTTATTATGCCTTTCTACCTTTAGCTCTCTCTCTGACTGTTGCACTGAGCCAAAGCAATTTCCCAGTCTCTGACTTCCTGTTACTCACATGGCAATAGAAATTATTCTGATTATTTAGGGCTAAATGAGTTATATAGCTTCAGATCTGTGTATATCTGGTCTGAAGCATGTGTTGTACACATGGTGTATTAGGGTGATTGCATTGGTAAAGTAATGTGGGAAAGCAGGGTACTTAAGTGTGCTTGTTTACCCCATGGCACTTGTGGTTAAGAGAAGGTAACGTGGACTGCAGGATTGAGAGTGGAAGCTAATAATTAAATATCCTTTTCACCTGCAGACTTTTCCACTGCGCTCAGTTTTAGTACTTTACCCTAGAGATTTTTTAAGTATAGATATGTCTAACGCCCTTTCCGACCCAGCCATGCTGCTTACCGGTGACCACACGCTGCGTGTTGCTCGAGATCTCAGACTCCGCAGTAATCGAGGCCGCTGCCTGGGTGGAGGCCGCTGCCGGGGTCGATGCCGCTGCCGGTGGTTCTCCAGGGATAGGGGATGGGGACCGTGGGGGCTCGTCTGTCATCTCCGTCGTGGGAAGGGATTCTAAAACAAACACACAACGGCTTAAGTACAAGCACAGTACAGAATGGGAATACGTGAAAGAGCAAGACACAGGCACTAGCACAGGAAGTTAGCTTTAGCTTGCTTGCTAGCTAAAAGTTGCTATCTCACTGTGTACAACAGGCAATCAAACAATTACATGAGAAAATACATTACAGTGAGACCTTAGGTTATTTTCACGATTAGTAAAGACAAAAGTAACAAAACACTTACGATCCTCAATGGACAGAAGCAACGAGGAGGCCGAGTCCACACCACTCCCGTCCATTGTTAGACGGCCTGTGACCGTAAATGGCGTCCATCTCAGCAAACCACCGCCAACTCCTTTTGTTTGCCCCACTTCGGCCATTGTGATCTTTAATGGCCCTGTAGTCACTCTTAAGCTTCTTCAACTTGTCCCTACACTGCTGCAGCGTGCGGGGATATCCACGTACGGCCATGAGCTCGGAGATCTCCTTGAAAACCTTGTGGTTTCGAGTGGTGCCGTCGAGCTCCTTCTGGATACTGTCCTCGGCCACGAGAGACAGTAAACATTGGACCGCGGCGACGGACCAAGGCGATTTGGGGGTCTTTGCGGTTTCCATTGCTCTCACTACACAACACGTCTTGCTACAGCACAGGCGGGTTTAAAAATGGCGGGGTTGAGATTTGGTTATCACAGGGTTGGATGTCGCACTTATGACGCTCCAGTGACGACACTCGTTGACCAATCAGTGTAAGGCAGTGGGCAGACGTGACGTCATGGCACGGGTACTGTGGGGATGGAACAGCTGAGGCAGTACGGAAAAGTACTCAAATCTCTCATTCCATCCACTAGTGGAAAAGCAAAATAGGTGCGCCGTACCGTACCGAAATGAACTGAACCGACACTGTGGAAAAACGGCATTACATCATTTCAAATAGCCCAATATAGGAGAATATTATTGGTAGAGGATCCAACTTTGCCCTTGAAACTAATCTCTAAACCCCATCCTTCACAGCCACCAAATCTTTTCTAATCGACCCGACTCAAATCCCTTCTATTCTGTTATACTCTATTCTTATTCTATTTTTCCTCCTGCTACTTCTCCTCACCATCTCTCTCGCTCCTTTACGTTCTGTATTAGTGCAGTTCTTAATTTTACCACCAGATGGAGGCAAAGAGGGGCTGAGAGCACAGCAATTATGCACAGGTGTGTAAACATCCAAACAACACTATGAATGCAGACAAGAGCACAGCCACTATTAGTCTATTTCTGTTTTGGGGTGTTGACAATCAGAGCTGCCACCCAATTTGATCTGGTTTAAGGTATTTATCTAGTTTTTAATTTGTAAGACTTTAATTGATTTGTTTTCATTTGCTCAGGCCAACAGCATGAAAGCAAGCTCTTTGTGTGCGTACAAGCGTGTGTCTGTATGTGTGTATGTGTCTGTCTCTGTGTGTGCGTACGAGCAAGTGTTTGTCTGTGTGTATGTATGTGTGTGTGTATGTGTCTGTGTGTCTGTCTCTGTGTGTGTGCGTACGAGCGAGTGTTTGTCTGTGTGTATGTATGTGTGTGTGTGTATGTGTCTGTCTGTCTCTGTGTATGTGTGTGTGTGTGTGTATGTGTCTGTGTGTCTGTC